TCTTTCATTCTTTTCTTAGAAACTATAACAACAAACTTCCACTATTTATTCTAACATGCTTTATTGTCCGGAACAAACGTTTTCGACAATTTTTGTCTTTAAAAAAAAAAAAAATAAGACAATTTTCTTTTTGTTTATTAAAGAAAATTTTAAATTACTCAAATTTAAATTTTCGGAGTCCGAAGAAGACAAAAGATTGCTGAAAACATTTGTTCTGTAAATAAAGAAAACATCTGAGAATATACAGTGGAATTTTATTATTATAGTGACTTTTATTAAGAAAGCTTTTTATAATAGGGGACCATGTGAAAAATTAAAGAAAAATAATAATAATTTTAGGTTTTTTAATTAATTACAAGTCATTTAAACAGAAGTCGTATAGGGTTATAGGTCTATAAATCTTTAAAATGGATTCGAATTCATTATAAATTTTAACTTTTTTTTCAAATTTTTCTAAGAAAAATATATTTTAAAGATTTTCAAAATATGATTAACGCCAAACAAAGTTAAAAATTTAGTTAATTCTAAGAGATTACCACTTATTCGAAGAACTCAAATTTTATGTATTTAAACCACTTTACAGACAAAGTTACCGACTTCGCTAGCTTCAAATCTCAATTTTAAGTAGTTCTGCTAAATGTATGAACAAATGATCAAGTGATAGTCCAAGTAAGGACATTAACAACTTTACTTTTAATTTTTTATCACTGTTTTTCAAAACAAGATTAAAAAAAAAAAGAACTAAACGTCGGCTTTATAAATAATTTAAAAAACACTACGTAAATAATGAGTGTATTAGATTTATGTATTAAATATCGTTGGTTTAACCGATAAAACTGATCTACAACGAAACTATTCAAATTTATAGCTCGAACTAATGAAAATTCTACTTTTTCAGATAATTGCACAAATTAGTTTTTTAAATAAAAAGTAATAAAATGTTTGCTCACTTTTTATTCTATAAAAATGTCCATTTTAGTGTATAAATATTGTTTAATTCCTTATAATTCAATGAATTTATCAAAATTAAGCCTCAAACAAACGTAATTAAATGTTACTGTTATGCAATACGTTTACATATTTAAGCTGTCCTTTCAATTATTAACAAGTGGTTCTGAGAAAAATAGTCGAAATACATAATTGTTTCAAAAGTGGAGATAAAATTAGATGCTGTACGTGCACAACTCACATTGAAATTTAGGTAAAATGTCTCTATATTATCATTTATTTTTAAAATATTTCCGTTTTTCTATATTATAAATTGTAGCTAGAATATATATTTTATTAAAATCTAGGTCTATTATTTTAATAAAATATAATAAAAATCTGAATATTTTACATGTTTAAATATTCCACTAATTTGATAAATTCTTTTTAACAACTGTAATTAGTTTATATAGCGAATTGTTTGACATGATAAATGATTTTATTTTTCGAATGAAAGTAATGCATAATATAAAAAATATCATTTTTATATACAAATTAGACTATCATCTGATAACTGTTCTATTTCTCTATACAGTAATTACAAATCGTAGAAATATTATTAATATACGTTTCTATAAGTCAACTTATGTAAGCATTTCTAAATAAAATATTCACTTAAGTATTGTAAGTTTATTGTGAAGGGAATATCTTAACAATTTTAAAAGTAATTTTAATACAAAAATAAATTTTAAATTAAATATGACTCTACTATACATAAGAAATAATCTGTTTATAAAAGCCTGTATTTTTTTAAATAATATTATAGTATTATATGAAGTATCTTAACTGTCAGTTTGCTTACCTAAATTGGACATACGTGAAACTGGTAGATGGACTTGTGAATGTAGTCATTGTTCACTCGTCAACTGTCAGTTTTACAGCATCATCGTTATTCATATTTCTTGTATTATTACTTTTATTTTTTTAATGTAAATATACTGTAATTATTTTAATCATTGCACGTGCGTACAACCAAATTTTCAACGATTGAGAAATGTTATAATAATTATAACATTTCTCAATTAATCCCTCGATGGCCAGTATATTTGTGAGATTAAATTAAAATAATCTTTCTTTTAATTTTAATTTTTAGACTGAATTAATAAAATAAATATATAATAACAGAATTTGATTAAAATCATTTTGAAAAAAATGGGTTTGTGGGTCATTTTTAAGTAATTTCCCGGGCCGTTTTCGAGCGCCAGTTCGCCTCAGGCACTGTATTTAAATAGTAAAGAAAAACAAATAAATTAATATATTTTAAAGACTTTTTAAAATAGTTTTATTAACGTAATACAAAAAAAATTATGAAATTTTAAGGGAAATCTCATAGCGGGTCAGAAATAAACTGTTTGCGAATCAGCACTGATCAGCGGATGACAGTTTGAGTAGCAATGATTTACAAATTTAATCTAATTCTATTTAATTTTAAATACATTTAAATATAAACTATATATTTATTTAATGGTAGATTGCGGTACCGGATCTTTGGGACCAATACATTGAATAACAACTCGCAATACTAATATCGATATCATGTATTCAAATGAACGGTCGATTCGATAAAGGCGTCAGCCTGCTTCTCCATGAACCTGTTCAGTTCAATTCAAATTTCAGTCAGATTTTCAGAAATTTACCTGGAACAGAGGAAATCAGTAATGGAATGAACAGAAGAGTGTAATGCAATATTTGATATCGCATATCTGTGAGAAATATTACCGACTGTTTAGTATATCTTATTCTAAACAATACGCATTGTATAACTGTGAATACAAAATGACATAAGGTGTAACATTAATTTCAAAATATTTTATAAACAATCTAACATTTGATATTTTAAAACTTCCAGTAAAAACTGTAAATTTAAATAATTCAAATAAGAATAACAAAAGTTTATTAATTAATTTAAGAATCAACGAACAGATTAATTTTACATTGGCTTACTCCATTAATAAAAAAAACTGTATTGCCTAATATATGCATAAAATAATTTTTTTAAAAGCTAAGGTAATGACATAAAATATACTCAGAGAATTTTGTCAATTTATTCGGCAATTACAGCTTTGTTTTATTTTTTATTTTAAACTCTTTCTACCCTGCATATATAGAGGCATTTTTCTGTATGTCCATCATGATTCAACAAAGTCAAACATAGGACAAACGGAACCATATTCAAAAACGGAGATTTTAAGTCTAGTTATGTTGCAATTCTAAACTCGTTTATAATCAACTCAAGATTTTGCCCACTTCTAGAATTCTAAGAGATTTAGTCAGTACAATTTTTTGTATGATGACTTTCTAGTGACGTCATTCTTTCTGTTGCATTATCGCTGTAGGCACTATTCAATTGAAAGATGGTTATACGTGCTGGTATAAGAAAAAAGGTATATATGTATATTTATGTTTATTTTAGCGATGTTAAAATTATGGTCACAATGAATAAATAATCATTTTTACTTATTTTACCATTTTAAATAAGACTGATCGGTTCGCTAACTCAGGAATGGTACAAAGACTCTAAGAACAATTTTACGCTCCGTCTTCCTAACCAATTAGATTTGCTACTTAGCATTCTGTGTTACTGAACATGGTTTAAATGACAAATTAGAGCCTGACTTATCCAGATTAATCCAACAATTGAAATTTCTCAACCTGTTCTCATCCTGACTCAAATAAAGGACAAACTGATGCCTATATCGTCTTGGTCAAAATGGTTGGTTTATTCAAATCGAAAGCGAATCCACCGACGAGACTGGAATCTGCTTAAGTCCTTCTCTATTGATACAAACAATAAATGAAATAAAATAAAATTTACTTGTTCGAACTTAAAAACATTATTTTTAAAACATTTCTGATGGCAAATATGATTTATCGGACCATACATAATATAATCGTCCTGCACATGTTAATAAAAGATACTTATAATAATTCAAATATTTTTTATTTATAAGTTAGCCTCCCTTTAGGTTCTGGATCCACTACCGATTAAAATGTATAAGAGCCAGGAATATTTTTGATTAGAGTTGCCAACTTTTCGGATTAGATTTGCACCAAATAATTGTACCAAAATTTGATAAATTTTTACCTAAAGACTAAAAATTAGATTTTTATTTTTATTTCAATTTGTGTTGACCAAGTAATATTTGACAATGTTCTTTCAAATTTATTAGTCACAACTTTCATTTTATCATTGCAGAGCATCCACATTTTCGGTAACGACTAACTGGGAATTAATCATTTTTATTGTTATGATCTTTGCTCCATATGGTAAAATAATAGGGGATAGCCTATCGCCATTAGAACTTAGATCCTCATCTAATCTTGTGTAATGAACAATTCAGTTAAAAGAATTATTCTCATTTCTCATTTACTTTTGGAAGAAAATTGTAATTGATCATATAACTTGTGCTGTTCAAATTTACAAATATACCGTAATTTATGTAAATTAAAATATTCGAAGTGCCATTAAAATATTTCAAAGTTTTTTCATTAAGACATTCTCTCCGTATTATGATTTACAATTTTAAATGTATCGCTAATAAAAGCAAATTGTATATATCTATATATAAATGCGCGGTGATGGTTTATATCAATACTATCAATACTATTAAATGTCGACGGCCGGATGGTCGAGCAGTTAAGGTATCATCCTACCGCTCTGGGGGACTCGGGCGGAAAGATTTTAAAAAAAAAACCATTAAATGATAATTTTTCTTATAATTAATAAAAAATTTAGATTTACGATAAAAATAACTAGTAACTTATACTTTCGTACTATATAAAATCACATATATTATCACATATTCGTCAAAATCGTCTATTTCTAATATATTAAAAAAATATATATAATTTAACATTATCCAATGCCAAAGATATAATAAAATTAAATAGTCGAAAAAAAAATTATACGAACAGTTTATTTTTAAAACGTAAATAAAGAATTAAAATAAAATTTTATTTTTCAAGATTTAACTTTTCTAAATCTGGCAGCACTGATTTTTTATCAGGCAAAAGCGAAAGCTGTCAGCAGACGTAAGAGCGGAGCTGTCAATCCGATATCGAGCGTGAGATCGGTGCATCTATAAAGCATAACAGGAAATCGTTCACAATGGAACACGAGGAAAAACTCGTATTTATAATCATTTAAAAACGGATAAGATCGGAATTTCGGTGGGGTGGACGATAGAATGTGAGTAAATAATGTATTTATTTTTGTTTTAAGTTGCGACTACCGCAGTGCAGTAGACAGTTAGGCTTAACCATAAGGTTATTCTTTTTGTTTAGTACACTAGAATTGTGTATCAGTAATAAAGTAACCTTATCAGATTTAACCAGTTAGGCCTGAGAAATCGATACGCGTTATTCTCGTGTTATAACCATTAAATGGATCATAGTAGCAATATCAATCACGGTATTGGTAAAAGAACAGTCACTGTACATTAATAAAGGCGAAAAATGAACTAGAGATGAGATCATTGCATTATGAGTTAAGAGAAAAATTTAAAAGGGAAATTCTCATCGTGTGTGACCTTCGAAGATATCATTCATTCATCGGTTTTAGTGGGTGATTTCAGTTAGTTAATAGTAGCATTTATAGCTTCCATAACCGATCTGAAACACGAAACTTGCGATATAGCTTTATTTATCTATCTATATTTAAATTATATCTGATAAACTAATAAAATAACGTATTTTAAAAAATATCTGTATATACTTCCGTTATAGATTAATGGAAGAATTTGATCTTAAATAAGTAGTAATAAAATATTTACCACATCTACACTTTATTTCTATGATAACAGAGATTAATTTAATTGCAACAGGTTGTTGTTTCTTTCTTTCTTTTTTTTTTATTAAGCAGAGAAACTAATATATAATTATAATTATTTATGAAGAATTATTGTATAACTAGGTCATTAAGTTTATAATCTATTTCATTAGGAAAAAAATAATAATAAAATTAGAAATCATTGAAGTTATTGCAACATTTTGATTGTGTGCAGAATATTAAGAGATCATTTTCTGAATCATAAGAATGAATAATAAAATTATGGAGAAAGAATTATGATCTTGTTGAGAATTATTCTTAATCTGTTTTTCTAGATGATAAGTGAAGTACTGTACACTAAGATAGCATCATGTTTTTCTATACAAGGAGTGTTTAATTTTAATCAACAGAAATGATTAAAGTGAGATTATTACAATAAGAGATATATTTTAAAATTTTGTCTTTTTTTTTCTTTCTTTCTTACAAGAATTAAAATAAAAGATTATTTTGTAAGCATGGAGATTACATTAATAATAATTACTGGTAAACATTGTATAAAAAATAGTATTTATAAATGCTTAGAGAATTTTGAGAAAATGTTTTGAATGTTTGATATTAAAATGCAAAAATTATTATTTGTTTTGTTTTTTTAGGTTAGTTTTGATAAAAATATGTCCATCTACTCATAAATTTTATTTATCATGATAACAGTTGACTTTAATTATAGATATATTTGTAAAGTAAATCTGTGTGTCTTTATCATTTATGAAATATTTGTTTATTAGTTAATATATTTTAATTGTTATTTATTATAGTAAATATATTTTTCTTTCATATAAACTTGTGAAAATGTTCTTATCAACATAGTAAAGTTAGTATACTTCCAACAAAAAGATATATTAATATTATACATATATAGTATTTATATATTTTGAATCATTATAAGGCAAATAATTTGATATCCAGAATATTTTTAAAAAAATAATTAACAAAATTGTTACAAATTGAATAATAAATAATAATAAAATACATGAAAACAGTATCTATTACCAGTGTGCCATTGTGTAATGTTGGAACATCCTTTCTCCAGATGTTTTGATTTTAAGTTATATTAGAGAACTCTAACAAATATTTATTTAGATTAATGCATTTCTTAAATTAATTTTTATGGATACAAATATAGGCCAAGATCAAAAATGGCATTTGATTATTTTATCATTTATAGATGTTATATTGACTCATGTATAAAAATTTCAAAAACAGATTTCAATTAAAATAAATGAAATAAAGAAAATGCTTTTAGGAAAGCTTGCTTTTGAATTAAAAAAAAATGCGAAATGAGAATTTTCAAAAATTTTATATCAAAGTTTTTAAAAGTAATTACATATTAGTATTCATGATAACAATATTCATTGTGAAAAGTGGTAATAATGAAGATAAGTCTACATTAGTAACTAATTATTACATGTTATGAAATATTTCTATTTTTATCATTAAACTATACATTCTAAGGCTTAATATAATAATGCAAAAGTAACATGATTTATAATGATGAATGGACTTCATTAAAAAAGTGGATGAAAACAAAATGCCTTACTCCCAATATTAAATAAAAACTAAAATCTGACTTTTATACTATAAAAGAGACATCTATGTTCATACTACAATTGAAAATCATGATAAATTCTTAAGTAATAATTTCAATGTAATAATTATGGAAATCCAAATATTTTGATACAACTTGTTAACATTCAATTTATAAATTCTGTGTTAAATATCATAAATTTGTCCATAATTAGCATATAGGCTATAGTTAAAATAAATTACTATATATCAAATTTTAGTAAGTCTTATGATAGTTATGTATATGGAGAACTGTTTAAATCATTCTGTATTATTGTTATTGTAATAAATATAGGAGCTTTAAATCTGTCTTCTTGCTCCATTGCTTCACAATGATGGCATTTTTATGATCATTAACTAGAACAAGAGGCATTATGTTGAAACAGAAAAGTGTCTTCTGTAAGGGAACTGCATAACAAGACAAAACTTTATAGAATTTGTGATGCCAAAAAATTATTTTAAGAACATTAAATTAATTTAGATAGGCATGTAACCATTAATGCTTACAGAATAATTTATACATAAATCAATTGAAATAAAATTTTGTAATTAATAATCAAAATTATATATAAAGTGATTCTTTTATTTGAAAACATGAGAAAAAAGATACTGAATTTTTTCAAATGAAAAAATTAACACTAGAGAAATGGACATTGGCAATAACCCAAATTTAAAATGTGGGATATTGTTTGAAAACATCAACTGTTTTATTTGTTAAAATTTTGATAATTGCTTAGTTGTATTAAAAAATATTAAATAGATCCATATTTAAAACTGTAACAATAAACATTGTAATAGATGGATCATACATGCATTTTTTTTTATCTACAAAATCTAAGTTTATTTTTATAATATGATGTAAACATACATTCTAATTTATCAAGTAAACTTCCTTCCTGTATTTATTTAATTGTTAAATCTAAAAGATCTTAAAACAAATGTTTAAAAAATTATTGACTAATAAATGAAACTTTCTTAAAAATTTGATGTATAGAATTTTATATAATATAAAATGTAGATTAATAAGTACAAACATGGGCGTAGCCAGAGTTTTGTTATGGGGGGGCCTAGTGGAGGCCAACCTGACACAAAATTGAATTATTTCAAATTATTGTTCATTATTGGGCACCGAGCAAGCCGTTCACCTTTTTTTAGTATTCAAAACTTTTATTTTAGCTTTAGGTTTTTACAAATCGACTCAACACTTTTTCGGCTGTGATTTCCTGGGGAGGGCACCAGGTTCCCTGGGAGGGGCCGTGCCCACCCAGGCTCCCCCCTCGCTACGCCCATGAGTACAAATAAACTTATCATGTAAAAAGTATGATTTTTTTTCCATTAAAATAAACAGTATACTTATGAGATTTTTACTTTAAAAATTCTATTACATAACAAAGATTAAATTGGGAAATATTGCACTTAATGATGAATTTTTTTTTTTAATATATATATATATATATATATAAAAAATATATATATATATATATTTTTTCTATTGTTAATGCCTAGAAATTACAAACACCAGCTGTTTAATCCAAAATGTACCTTGTTTTATGAAAATGCAAAATGAAAAGTCAAACTGTGACTATTTTATTTACGGGAATCTGAAAGGAGTAAAATAAAATTGCATATCATCATATTAAATAAGAATCTAAGTGAATATTTATCACATTTTTATATATGCTATTTTAATAAAAACAAAAGTTTTGCAATTCATTCTATTCTTAACTGAAATATTTTGTTTTTGATAACAGTCTTGATGGGAAGTAAAAAAAAATAATTTAATAAATGTCATTATTTTTTATGAAATTATATTCTGCCTATTGATATCTATTTCTTAAATAATTTTGTTATCAAAAGGACAAAATCCAATTCTCAATTGTTACTATAGGAAGGTAAATGTCATAAACATATTCTATGAAAAAATCTAGATGTTTAATTCATACTTAAATTAATAAAAATAATTATTAAATTAAAATATGAATGAATGAATAATATATATCTTTTTGAATTAAATATAAATTGTTGAACACAAATTTTATAGGAAATTAAACTGATATCTAAAAATGTTGATTTATTAAGCTTAAAAAATAATTGAGTAATATATATTTCACATTTGATATCAATTATAATATTTCTGTTAAATTTCTAAAATAAATTAATAATGATTAGTGTTTTTAAATATATTTTTGATATTTAATATTTTATTTTTTTTAATGCTTTATACACATTACCCAATAAAGGCATTTTTCTTAAATAAATCTGAAAAACAATATTGTTGCAAATATCTGTGTTTTAAGTTAAGCTTTCCTGTCCTAATATTGTTTACTATATTTTTAGACTACAAATGAACTATTATTATTCTGACTTATCAAACATTCAATAAGTGATTGGCAATAAAAGTTAAAGTCTTAAGAAATAAAACAATTATGATGGTATTTAGTATGACTTCAGTATATTTTTATACATTTGCCAGCTGAAGAGGAGTTGAGAAGGACTAAATGCATAACTGGAAAATAAAGCTTTCTCTAAGTTAATTTATTTGTCCTCATTATCGAATATTTGATAAGTCTGGAAAAATAATCTGTTTCTAGTCTAAAAATCCTATCTGTCTTTTGTTCAAGCATTTATTTTGGTATTTTTTGTTATATATGTATAGTATTTAATGCTTGATATTTGAAAAGTTTTTGTTGAAGTTAATATAGTTTAAAAATGTTTTTGCATTAATAATAAAAATAAGAATATCTTTTTGATTATAAGATTTATCAAAATTATTTGCTTTGGTTTTTTTTAGTTTCTTA